GAGCCATACCTCTATTCGTGTGATAAAGTTCGCGACATTGGTAACGGCCTACTGCACTGTATTATCCAGCTAGACACAAAATGCCCACCTTTTCACGCACTTCGTTAACACAACATTTCAAGCATTCGTCTTTGTTGGTCACCTCACTATTCTGATAAGGTTGTCATCCCAATAGTTCACAAGCTACATAGCAGAGCCTAGTCCGGAAAAGCGCCAGACGCGTTTCGCCCTATTGGGGCTTGTCAGTGGCGCGCATTCCCTCGGTCCTCTAAGGAGGATCGAACCCATGACCGCTAGAGGCAGATGCCAACTAACCAGCAGCCTAAGCCACTAAGCCACGGGGGACGTTGGCTCGGCTACATAATTTGCAAACTAACTGGGATGTAGCACCACCTCTCTACCACTGTCACTGTCAGTGGTTAGCCTGCGAGGTGATGACGTCCTCTCACTAGACACTATATCCATAGCATTTGAAACTAGGAGAGGCGATTTTCATTTTCATTTTTATTAGTCACAAGTAGCAGGATTTTAGTTGTAATACTGATAAAGCTTTCATCCCAATAGTTTACAAGCTACATAGCAGAGCCTATTCCCTTTAATTTTTAAGTGTAAAAATTTAAAGTGCTCCGATACAACCGCTTCTTTGTTTGCGGTTTGGGAGCTGACGAAGAGTCCATGAAGTGCAATCTTCGAACACGCAAAAGAAAAGTTTAAGTAAAAGAAACTTCATTAATTATCGGGCAGGGATGCTGGCAGTTATGAGTAGTTGGACTGAATTTGAAATGTTGCAAGACACTTGAATACGATCGAAAGGCATCATAACGGAAAAATTTAGAAACACTTGATTGATATTTTTATTTTGCAACCTTTCACTGTTGACGCAAAACTTGCTTCAGTCCAGATGATATGGGAAGAACTTTACATGATAACGCGATGTCCGCCCTAACTCAATCACCTCGAGGTTTGCGCAACCTTGTTAGACATCTGGTTGAATGGAAAAGTGATAGCTCCAAACCAAGTTGACCCGTCACGATGCAATAGGTAAGGAAAAGATCATTTCGATATCGTTGATATTGCGGCAAAAAGGAGTAATTCAAGCTGTCGCTCAAGATAGGGCATGCGTCTTAAGCCGTATACTATCTTAGTGGCGGTCCACGATGGTGTGCTTGGGCGAATGCTAGAGAGTGATAATCACACTAGTGTTTTTAGAAAAACAGATAGCACTTAATCAGTTGCGTTGGCTTGGGCACTTACTTCCTTTTGCCTGGTCACCGCTCGCCCTAGAGGGCCTAGTTTTGTTTGCCAGGTATAAGCTGATGCAAAGCCTGAGGTGGGCCAAAATTAACCTGGCAGAGGGAAATGAAGTCACTGGAGATCAAACTTGGTGCTATTGGTTCCACTCGTGTTCTATGAGGGAGTCCACGTAACCCGCCTTGTGCTGGGCTTGAGACTTTACTGGATATGGCCCTAGTGGGCACAAATGTTGTGGCTGCTGCCGTCTCTTGGACTACAAGTTTAAGGGATGTTTGGTGCTAACTTATCTGCGGGGTAACGGCTGATTATGACGCATGTCAGTGAAAGCCAAAGGAAACTGTCTCGCTGATGCCAGCTCAGCATTGCACGACAACCAGCTGTTTGTGACGGCATGTTATTGAAAATGTATATGCAGCTTGACTCCGAATTTTCGACTGAAGCACCAAGGTTTTGCGCTAAGCATCTTTCCATACCTATTATTCTTCTTATTCCGTAGGTCGTTATGTTTATGCAGCAGTGAAGCATCTGCTCAAAATGGCTGCTGTGTCGTGGTTGCTGTTGTCGTTATGGCTGTTGTTATTGTTGTTCGAAATCCACTATATCGTAATCATGTCGCAAAAATATCAACGAGAAAAAGCGTGCTTTCAGTATTTTCAGTAATGCCTGATGAATCTAGCAAACAGACTGCCAAACATTTTACCTGCAGGGGTTCCGAATCATTGGCAAATCATTCAAAGCAGCTCAACTCCCTTACCGGCGGCTTTTGTCCAGTTTTCACTAGACTTGAATGTAGATGGCAACGTGATTCCAAAACTAGCCTGCTTCGTCACACGTGGCACCTTGTTTACGCAGTAAACATAAATCCTTGGTAGCCCTTCTTTCTTAATAAACAAAGACAAACATTCATGGAGATTTAGCGGCGGTTAATACGGAACGGAACAGTCTCAGAGCCTGTCAAATGAACGCTGTAGGTTCTTGAAACTCCCTACTTCACCTAGAGTACTCCAGTATTACAGGATCCGTCAACTTGTCTTGAGCTGGATCGCCACATATCTCCTGCAACTATTATTATTAGTCAGCATCCTGACCTACATATATGATCCTATACCAGTCGAGTCTGTTGTTCCTCAAGACTCAGTTCTAAAGACAGAATTGTTTGTAATATTTTGTAATGACCATTCACAGACAAACGCTACAAATTTCTTACTGGTTGCTAAGGAGAACAAGGTTTGGCGCCGGATTCAGGCGAATGCTGATCAGAATTTACTTTAGTATGGTCTAGCAAAGGTATACCAATGGCGAACAGAAAACCGCTACATTTTAACACAAGCAACTGTCAACCACTTTCCATATGACACCAGAGTACCTATTCTTACGGGGAGGAAAGCAAGGGTTGCATAGTCCGTTCATCAAACGCCATCTTGGCCTGCTGGTTCAGGTAAATTGAGTGGTTCCAGGAATCCGGGAAAGCGTCGAAAAATGGTAACCTACACGTTAGCCTATTACAATGGGCGTTCGGAGAAATAGACACCTCTCTTTTTAGGCAGATGCTCAATGCGTGGATTTGCTGCCACGTCGAATACACAATACTCTTATGGCACCCATGACTGCACGCCTGCTTGGCCGGGGAACTTGTAGCGTCCCAAAAGATAAATACTATCCTTCATGTACAATTACATTGCTGACCGATTATACATTAATTCTTCTTGTTTTAGTCTCCCACACATCCGGCCCAAGGCTCGTCTTCTCTGTAAGTTGTCGCGCTAACGTTTGCTCCTGTCTCACCCTATCCGTTCACGCCTATTGTAACCCATCGAATATATTCCGCTGTGTCCGACTTCAACTGCCTTCTGATATCCACGCTGAATTACGCGCATCGTCTTGGACTAGTATTACTTGTCCTAGAAATTGGTGTCCTTGATTCGCAAGCGCGAATTTATATATCTTTTTTGGTTTGCATTTTTTTGATGAATTCGTTCGTGTTCCTCGATTTTACCCGTGCGTTTATTCGTTTCTCGCCTAATGTTAATAGTTTCCACTTGCTTTTGCCCAGCCATAATCTTCGCAATGAACAAAAACCGAAAGTGGCATCCCTGTGCGCAAGAGTAGTCAAAAAGCGTCCGCTGGAGTCACCGTTGGAGCTCCCCGATTGACTAACTTTTGTTATCCCGACCGTCCCAATTGGAGACGTTTTGGAGGACTTTTGTTCAATCAGAAAGCTTTTCTCTAAAATACCCTTACCATGTACCTTGAATGCATTTGCCCTAGTAGCAAACAACATCAACAGTGAGCCGAAATGGATTTCCAAATTCTAAGTACATAGCACAAAAGCCGGTAAGCTAAACCGAAACTATTTTCCGATGACCAAAATGCGACCAAAAGCTGGCCAATTGGGACGGCCGTGGCCATTAGAACTGGTCACTTACGGATCCACAATGGTCACTCGCGCTGAGTGAAGTTACGACTGTCCTAAAACGTAACGTTTTTTAGATACAGAACGGAGGCGCTAAATAGGTACAAGCCTATTTAAGGGTATATCTAAACAAACTATGTAATCTAACTTCATATTAACTTCTTCCTATTCGAGTGACTAAAAATACGCCCAGATGGGACGGCTGACCGTCCATCTGTGCGGATAAGGACATGAGTCGTTGCACAGCTACATATGTTCACTTTAGGTGTTCCATGTTTCATGGAACACAGCCCAGAGGTTTGCCTTGCCAAATTAGAGACCGCAATCAAAAATAAGGGCATGCAGACGGACGGCTGGAAGTATAAGCAGCTGGTTCTACGTCTTCCTTCGTCGTGACGTCGGTTCAGAACATTCTACAATGCCAACCAAATGACCCAAATTATCAAAAGATGAAGCGAGCGATTTTAAAGAAGTTGCAGCCCAGTGCACAGGCTCGATTTAAACAACTCAATGGTTTCAATCTGGAAGAGCGCAAGCCGTCAATGTTGCTCCGCAAACTTCAGCGCATCGCTGATGCCTTATTCTTGAGCGTAAAAAGGATGAAGAAGCTGTGATTTTCACGTCTCTCAAAGCCATTACCGCTAACGCTGTCCATATTTCTAGATAAGCTGCTGAAAGAACTAGCACACGAAGCAGACGCTGCGTTCGAAGGCCTTCCGCAGCAAAGGACCAGTAGCTTCGGTGACGCATTCTCACCGATGAAAATCATGTCTCACATTTGCTTCAAGGTGTCAGACTTAGCTGACTCTAAAGACGAGGAAATTGCGCTGCTACACTG